GCTGAGTGGGAGGGTGGTTCTCTGGACATGTTCATCTCTCCCTTTCCTTTTCTGCTGTGCTACAGAGGTGATTGGTGCTCAACCCTGTCTGGACCTGCCTAGTGAGAAACTCCACCAGTTCTTTTGGGTGTTTTTAATTTTTAAGCTATGCCAAACTTGGCCAAGCACTTTATCATACACAGTAGCTCATAAAGTCAGTGTCAAAAACATGTGGAAGTAGGAGACTTCCTTGGCGGTCAAGTGGTTAAGACTTCACTTCCCAATGCAGGGGTGCCAGTCAGTCCCTGATTGGGGAGCTAATATCTCACATGCCTTGGGGCCAAAAAATAAAACCAAAAAAAACCCCAAAACATAAAACAGAAGCAATATTGTAACAAATTCAATAACGACTTTTGAAAAACGGTCTACATCAAAAATATCTTTAAAAAAAATCACACACACACACGAAAGTAGATGGGCTTTGCTGGTAGCTCAGTTGGTAAAGAATCCTCCTGCAATGCAGGAGATTGGGGTTCAGGTCATAAAGATCACCTGGAGAAGGAAATGGCACCCCACTCCAGTACTCTTGGCTGAAAAATCCCATGGACAGAGGAGTCTGGTGGGCTACAGTCCATGAGGTCACAAGAGTCAGAGTCAGGTACAACTCAGTGACTAACCACCAGATAAGACTTGGAGGCATCTTCTGCCTAAGGTCACACAGCCAGGAAGTCCTGGACTAGGTGTCACACTCTGATCCTTCTGAGACCAGAGCCGGTGCTGTGACCCATCCTCCCCATGCTGAGTGGCTTGGATGCCCCAGCTCTCCGTCCGCCTCCATCACTCGGAGAGTGGGTCATGGCAGAGCCAGGTCCATCTCTGGAATTCTTCACCCAAGCTGACCCCTCTTGGAGGAAGATGGTTGACTCACAGTTGAAATCACAGCAGATGGGGCCAACCAGGGTTTCTAAAGATCATGAGGCAGCAGCAGCAGCTTCCTCTAGTTTGATGGACAACTTTTTAAATGGAACCAGACTCTGACACTGAGTCAAGCTGCTCTTAGCGACCCTTTTATTCCTCATTCGAAAATTGTGTTTGGAGAAGGCAAACACTTCTTTGGTTTGATGTTTTGCCCATATATGGACTACTGGTTGATCCTGCTTCGGTTCAGTTTTTCTGCTCTGTTTATTTCTCCCATTGACACGGATCCACCAATGATAACAGAGGTCACTCGTTGCTTTTTCATCTAAGCTGCACAATTAAGGCTTGTCCCTTGGGCTTCTCAGCGTGGTCTGTGTTCCCACTGCCCTTCTGTTCTGTTTATTCATCTGCAGAATTAGGCAAGTCCTGTGCCCAATCTCAGATTCCACAGTCTCTTTCTCTTGCTGTAGCATGTTGGAATGAGAGGGAGAGACAAGGATTATTAGATCACAGAATGTTGGAGCAGGAATAGACTTCACAGCTCATTCTAGAAGTAGTTGGCCCCATTTTACAGACGGGGAAATGGAGACCACCCAGTAGGCTGTGGCTGGAACCCGGGCCTTCTGGTGTCCAGGCTAGCTCTGGACACTGCTCTCCCATGTTGCTGTCCCAGGTGGGTAGACCCTGGAGCCCCTTTCTCCAGTGTGTGTAAGAAAGCAACTGCTTCTCATTTTAGCTGGAAAAACCCACGCTCATTTTCATCCCTGATGTAGGCAGATTCTCCCAGGCCTTTGTGGGAAGTAGAAAGAGGAAGCGAGGGGATGATTTTTAGTGGCAGGGCTCTAGTAATTGTCCTTCTTGTGAGGTTCTCAGAATCTCCACTTCCCTGGGGTTGCTGGTCTTGTTGGAGTTAAGCCTCCGCTTGGCCTTTCTCAAGGAGCAGGTCCAAGGAAGCCCAGAGGCACTTGTTTACAGCTGTCTCTGGGTGATGTTCGCCAGGTTCTGAGTTGGGGAGGAATGTTTCTATCCCCTTATTTATTTCTCCCATTGGAGAACTCGGGGAGACACACCAGTTAAATCACCACAACTACCTGGAATCCTGGGAGGACAGCAGATACGTTTGGGGCCAGTGTTAGGTTGGAAATGTTGTATACTTGCTCAGGTTTTTCTGTGATTCGTACACTCTATGGAGAAAGTTTAGTGTCTACATAGAAATCACTTTTAGTCTGTGAGCCTTAGTGTCTCTAAAGGTTGTTGTTGTTCACCTGCTCAGTTGTGTCTGACTCTTTGTGAACCCCATGGACTGCAGCAAGCCAGGCTTCCCTGTCCTTCACTGTCTTCCGGAGCTTGCTCAAACTCATGTCCATTGAGTCGGTGATGCCATCCAACCATCTCATCCTCTGTCAACCCCTTCTCTTCCTGCCTGCTATCTTTCCCAGCATCCAGATCTTTTCCAACAAGTCAACTTTTCACATCAGGTGGCCAAAGTATTGGAGCTTCACCATCAGCCCTTCCAGTGTATATTCAGGGTTGATTTCCTTTAGTATGGACTGGTTTGATCTTGTAGTCCAAGAGACTGTCAAGAGTCTTCTCCAGCACCACAGTTCTAAAGCACATGGGAACAATATCCAACTTTCCTCTTCCACAGGAAGCGGATCATGAGGGAAGGTTTTCTGATAGTACCATATGAAAGGGTCCTGAAAACTAAGGTAACAAAAATGATGCTACAGTAAATTTACTGAGTTAGTTAATCTTGCCTAGTAGTTGCAGACCTTTTTCTGTACCTTAGAAAAATCAAGCTGTGCATAAAGGGAGTGGATTCCAGCCCTGAAATAAAGCAGTGCAGAGTCCAGGAGCTGGGACCGAGAGGGGCCCTTTGTTTTTTGATGGTCTCTCACTTCCAGGAAGGAAAGTTGGGAGAGGCAGGCTGGTCCCCAAGATGTCTCTATGCCCAGGGGTATAGAGCCGAGAACTGAGGTCCCTGGTGGGGTCACACAGCCACTGGGGACACCTGTGGATATGCAGTTCCAAGAGCCATAGAGAATTTGAGAATGTCACAGGTTTCACAGCCTGGAGCAATGGCTGTACCCAGGCATGGAGGCATCCTGTGTGTATGTGTGTGTAAGAGTGCATGTATGTGTGTATATGTGAATATAACTGGGTATGTGTGTGAATGTAAGAGTGTGTGTGTGTGTGTATGAAGCTGTGTTTCTGTAAGAATCAGATGGAGTTTGTATATATGTGTGTGCATGAGTGTGTGTGGATGTCTTTATATATGTGTGTACCTGTGAGTGTGTGTATGTGTGTGTGCTCATGAGTATGAGAGTGAATGTGTGCATATGTGTGTGTGAGCACGTATTCATGAATGTGTAAGTGTAGGTGTGGGCTTGTATGTGTGTGTTGGGGGTGGGGTGCACAGACCCTTTGTTCGTGAGGGGCAGTTTTGCAGGCCAGTGGTTTCCTTTTAAACTTCAGGCTTCTTGTGAACCCCACAGTGTGAATGGTGAGGGAGGCAGACCAGGGCCTCTCAGACCACCTGTGGTGAAGGATCAGGGCTCCTTTCCTTGTTATTTCCTCCCCATCATGGATCAATACATTCATAGAATGCGCTAAAAATGAATTACTACCAAGATGTAGTAATAAGAAAATAAGAAAAGACACAATAATAAGAAAAGACACAACCAGCCCTATTACAAATTTTTTTTATATTTCTCTGTCAAATTTCTCTGTAGGTTTCTGGAAACTCCCTGTGAGTCCCTTCCCCCCCCCCCCCCCCCCCC